AAAAAAAAAATAAATAAAGAGGGAAGTCTAAACTTACTTCAGTGGTTCTCATGATCTCGCAGCTCCACTCCACCATGGAATTCCAGGCCTCCGTGAGGATCTGCACTGAAATCATTTGAGGGGGGGGTTCCCCCACCTTTCCAGTTATCCAGGGGGGTAGCAACGTGAAGCGCCATTGTGCCCCTGTGAATTTGAGAACACAGAGTAGCTAGAGCGTGTCAAGTCACAGGCACATAATCCAGGTTAGGTAATCCGTATAGTTTCCTTCTTTCATTCCCCTTTGAAATAATTTATAGTGACCGTCATCCACCCCCACCCGCCCTGCCACAAATTTACTCTCTTTGCTCTGAGAACCTGTGTGCAAAAGAAACTCCAGGCATCTAGGAGTTTGATGACTTAAGGGGGCTCCTGCCTCTCATGAGATAAGGAGTCCAGCAGGCCTGAGCAGACCATTGCCTATCCTTTCAGTGTGTAAAAGAGAAGACATTTGATCACCTGATAATCAAAATAATAGTCACGAGGTGATAATAACTATAATCACAGTTGCACAGCAAAGGAGAAATGGAATCATTTCAATACTCACTGGTTCATGAGGGAACAAATGAATGATCGTTTATCACATGTGTATCAATTAATGTTAGCATCTCATTGGCCAAATGAAAATTAGCATATATTGAGTGAAGAAGATTGACTCCTTTGACGAACATGGATTAATTCTGTGTTTTGCATTTATCCCGAAGATCCATTTGGATTAAAGAAAGTCCAGGTGAAATCCTCTAAATCTCTGCCCAATCTGTACAAGCCAATCTGATAGATGTAAAAATCCATTCTTCCGACTATAGACAGTGGTTAACTGTTCTTTGAAAGGAAAGTTGCGCCGATGCAGAAGTCACTCAAAGCAAAAGCAAGTGAAGGTTCAGAGCTGATCCATTGCCTCTGGAGGGCTCTTTCTGCTTTATCATTAGCGGGCTTTGATATCGTCTCACCTTCTCCGTCAAAACAAAGGAATGGAGCCAGCTCTAACGTCCCCGCCTCTCTCTGCATGGCACTGATTTCACCAGGCGCTGCAGGACTTATTATTAGTGGCGATATTGGGGTTCGTTATTCATGTGTATGTGCTGTGCTTTCTCAATCCCAGGCCGAGTACAGATGCTGCCTCAGGCTGTCTGTCTCCTCCACGCACTGCTCGAGAATGGACACACCGTGTACGTTCACTGCAACGCCGGGGTCGGCCGGTCCACCGCGGCCGTGTGCGGCTGGCTCCAGTACGTGCTGGGCTGGAATCTGAGGAAGGTGCAGTACTTCCTCATGGCCAAAAGGCCGGCTGTGTACATTGATGAAGACGCATTGGCCCGGGCAGAAGAAGATTTTTTTCAGAAATTTGGGAAGGTTCGTTCTTCCGTGTGTAGTGTGTAGATGGCCCATCTGCCTCCCCACCCTCCCGATGTCCTTCGGAACCCAGTTTCCTTAGGTGACGTCAGTGGAAAGACCTAGAAACAAAGATTCCATCAGAACTAACAAGACTGGTCACTTGGCTTTTCCCACAACCCGCCCCCTCTAGTCTGGGGCTCACTTTCTATTATGCTTTGGTTGGACTGTATTTTCTTTGAAATGTTTTACAGTGGAAATTGTGACTGACACATGAGAAAAAGCCACAAGCAATTGGCTGTGCAGTGTTCTAGCATCAGACAGAAAAGTAATGCATCAAGTTCCTGCTGCCTGCCTGCACACCAGCCCTTTGCTTTACAGTTGCTGGATTTGTTGTGCGAATTAATGACCACATCTTCTTGCTGCATTGTAATGTGACAGGCAGGATTGTAGATTTGGTCACTTGTGTGTTGATACATACATACACACACATACACACATACACACACACAGGTGCATCGCTTTCCTGCTCAACTGAATTGAAATGATAAAATGAGAGCTGGTCAGTTGCCAGAGAAGGGAATAGGGGGAGAGGCCTGGGCTGTGACGAAGGAAGAGCTCACACTGACTGAAAAGTGATGGTTTTCTAGACTTTGTGTTGGCATCCTGCTTCACAGTTGTTCAAGTTGGTTCTAGGGAATCACCTTTCTTCTCTACCCACAACCCTGTGTGACAACCAAAGGGGAGTTATTGTCTGTCTCCTTGTTTTAGTTGAGGTTCAAGGAGCATTGATGGCTTGCCCGAGGTCTGAGGGCTAGTCGGGGGCCAGCTGGTGTTTAAAACCCACGTTGAGGTGACTCAGTGCTTTCAACACAACTTGTCTTTTCAGCACAGTATAGTGGATTCTGTTTCTCTCAGAATAGGGTCAGTTTTTCTGCAGCAGTGTCTACAGCGAGAAATGGAACATCATTCTGATTAGTTGCCAGAGAATTTAGGAAAGTGGTTATGTTTTGGGCAACCTAATTTGAAATATGATGGGCTGTCTCAACACCCAAGTGGCCGGAGCCATCGCTCAAGAGGGGAGCTGTCCTACCAAAAGAGCCCCAATCCATGAATAATTGTTGCACAGTTTAGGAGCCATCCTGTTTCAGCCCTCAGTTTAAAACAACATGTAGTTAACTGTGCCTCCAGGATATCTAGCTCACTACCCTAGGTTCTGTAGGAAATACAAAGATTAACAAGACTTTGCCTTCGAAAAGGTCGCGGCACAGAAACAGCCGTGTGTTCAGTCAACCACACTGCAGGGTCGAACCACCAATGATATGCCAGAATAGGGGAAAGGAGAAGTAACTTTTATTGGGTGCCTCGTGTGTGCCAGGTGCTTTACAATTTTAATTTAACCTTCACAGTACCCTATGAGGGCGGTTCGTTACTTCTGATACATAGATGAGGACACGAAGGCTCAGATAGTTAAATCAACTGCCCAGCATCACACGGTGAATAAACAGAGGAAATGAAATACAAAGCTTGGTTTGTCTGATTCAATGCCTGTGCTTTTTCTATTAAGTTACAATGCCTGTTTATTTTTCTGCTCCTTTTTTTCTTCCATAATTATTTATTGATAGATATGAGAGACTGTGAATTAGGACGTATGGGGGACACATGGGTAAGTTCCCTGGAGTTCAGAGGAGGGAGGGGTGTCCTCACTGTGGGACTCGCGGGATGACTTTTGATTTGTCAGAGAAGGCCAGACAGCTCACATTTCTCCTGCAAGTTTACAAAGTTAAATTTATAAGGCAGGATTGAGTATTATGAAATCTAGCTCCCTTGCTAAAAATAACTAGAGATAACTATTGTATCCAAGTAACCCATTTATGATCATAATGTGTTGTGTAAAACTCAGTCTTAAAAATGGAATATTTCTAATTATGTGTGTGTGTACATGTGTGTGAGAATTTCTTTAATGCCTAAGAAGTTCAGCTATGTAACCACCACTATAGAAAGACCCCTATGGATGGATTTTCTTCCTTTTTCTCCTGATAGGCAAAATCAGTTTAGTGCTATTAAAGAATGTTTTAGAATAACCTCTCTTGTCCTCAATAAATGGATGTCTGATGTATTTCAAAATCACCTGGAATTTTGCTAAATAAAAGCATTAAAAATGACCTCTGATTGGGGCACGTGGGTGGCTCAGTCGGTTAAGCGTCAGATTCTTGATTTCAGCTCAGGTCATGATATCACAGTTCGTGAGTTCAGATCAGGTCATGATCTCATGGTTCATGAGTTTGACCCTCACATCAGGTTCCGTGCTGAGTGCAGAGCCTGCTTGGGATTCTCTCTCTCTCTCTGTCTTTCTGTCTCTCTCTCTCAAAATAATAAGCTTTGACCTCTGTTTATAGGATTAATTTTTTTTATTAATTTAATCTGAAATCCAGGAGAACATACTGTGTTTCCCTATTTGTAGAAGAAACAGGCAGCTGAACTAAATTGTTTTTTCCTTGTCACTCTTATTTTTTCGGTCGTTGATGAAAATCGGCAGTTACAGGACAAAAGGAAGACAAAGGTGAGGGCACCACAAAGAAGTGAGGATGAAAACCTCAAAAGTGTGTCACAGAAAATCAAAGCAGAAACCGTGCCATTAACTGCTTGTCACTGGCATTAACCAAACTTTCCAGTCACAGATTTCTTAAAGAAAAGCAAAATCTCACTCATGGTTAAGAAATGTCCAAATAAGTTTGCGTCTTTAAGTTTGAATCATTGTCCCTCAAATATTTTGTGTGTAATATTAGAAATATCTAGAAAAATAAACCTTTTTTGACCAACTTAAGGTGTGGGTGAAATAACGATGAAAAAAAAAATGTGGTTAGGACCTTGGAAACAGAGTATGAAAGGCAGGCTGTGAAGACGAGTTAGAAAGGAGAACTTGCCACACAGGAAAAACACCGAGTCGCGGTGTTCAGAAGTTACAACTGAGAGGCTCTTTACAGATGACCTAGTTAATTCCTTTATTTGACACAGGAGCAAACTATCACTCAGAGACACCAAGCCACAATTCCTGGGGCAAGAGCTTGAATTGACAGCCAGAGGGAAGGGAAAAGCTGGGAAGACGAATCGCAGAATTTATTCAGATTTACTGAAGGGTTACAGCAGAATTCATGAGCGAGAACAGCCAGGACCGTGTGTGGGGAAGGATTAATGGAAAATGGAGCAAGCGGAAGAAAAATGGCTAAAATGAGAAAAAGCAAAGGGCAATGGAATTTCCAAAGGAAGAAAAGGCAGGGATTTCCTTTCACAAAGACTGTCCTGGGAGATTGAGAGGGAAGGTGTGATGGGAGGAACAGGGGTGAGATGAGGTCATGTTCCCAGGAGAGGGGGGCACACTCTGTGTCCACTGACTTCTCTTTGGGACCAGATTTCAGCAGGAAAAAGGGGCAGCTGGATGTGATGTGCTGACCCCAAAGTGGCTTGTTACCTATAAGGAAAAAAGAAGGTGCCATTGGAGACGGGACTGAGACTAAACAGGACAGTGTGGGTTAAGCCACCTCTCACTTTAATAACAATAACTGAAGTAATAGTAAGGGGACGAGGAAGGACCACAGTAACAACTTCATTCATTCTAACAATAAAAATGGCAATAAGAGTAACAGGAAGAGGAAGGATAACAGCAAAAAGTAACAAATTCTAACAGTAACAACAGCAATAATAGTAACAGGAAGAGGAAGGACAATAGTGGCAACTACTTTGGTCATTCTAACAATAATCATGGCAAAATTGCTAAAGGTAAGAGATAAGACAATGGTAATAACAACTTCACTCTCTCCTTCCCCAACCCATTGCTCCAAAGTCTGTTCCTTATTCGGTTACTGTTGCTCAGGACTGAACTTCAGAGCCATTCTTCACTCCTCTCTTTCATTCAAATATCACATTCAATCCATCAGGATAACTTGGCACTTCTCTTGTCAAAGCATCTAGAGACTATCTACGTTTTACCTCCTCCACTGACCAACTCTGGTCAGAGCCAGTGTGATCTCTAGACTGGACTCTGGAAACAGCATCCTTACTAGTCTCTCTGATCTCTTCTTCCTCAAATCTACTCTCACCTAGTGGCCAGGGTGATCCTATAAAATGTATGTCAGATCATGTCATTCCTGTGCTCAAAACCTCCAATGACTTGCCATGTTATTCAGAGTGCAAGCAAAAGCCCTCCTGGGACACGTACACCGGTCCTCTGTTACATCTGTGACCTCCTCTCCCACGGCCTCCCAGCTCATCCTGCTGTAGCCGCACAGGCCTTCTTGCTCTTTGAGTACTCCAGGCTGGCTCCTACCACAGGGCAATTGCACTTGCTTCTCTGTCTGCCTGGTGTGCTGGCTCAGGCTCTTACCTCCTCCAGGGATGTCTCTCTGGGCCAGCCTATCAACAGCTGCCATGTCCAACCCCAGCCCTCCCTCTCCTCATTCTCTGCTTCCTTTCTGCATGTGGAACTTAGTACTGGCCCATACATTACATAATTTGCTTGTTTGTTTTATTGTCTGCATCCTTTCGCTACAATGTCAGCCTCAGAAGGGCCACAGTTTAGATTGTTTTGTTTGGTGACTCACCTAGAGTGCCTCTGTCGGAGCCTGGATTATAGTCCAGGGTGCAGGCCAAGAATAGCTAGTAACTGTTGAGAGCATCCGTGTTTCATGTACTGTTCTCTATGCTTTATGCATATCAGCTTATTTCAGTTTCCCACCACTGCTATGAGGTACATACTGTCATAGCCCCTATTTTGCAGATAAGAAAACTAGAAGCGTAGAGAAAACATTAACTTGTTCTAAGTAAGACAGTTTCATCCCTGGTCTGGGGGAGTAATCTGATGACCTCCCTGTATAAACACTGGGCATAGTATGTGTGTTGCTTTGCTGGGGCGGCCTTTAAGAAGTACCACAAATTGGGTGGCTTAAACAGCAGACATTTACTGTTTTACCATCTTGGAGGCTACAGGTCTGAGAACAAGGTATCAGCAGGGCTGGTTCCTTCTGCGGGATGTAAGGGAGGATCTGTTC